GAAGATAAATAAATCCCACATAAAAGGGTTTCTGCTTGGGTTGCTGGGAGGCATGGCGGGCCTGCAGACCACCAGCAGTCCCTTGCCCAAGCTGCCCCATGCCCCAAAGGAACCCCCACCCTGAACCAGGACACCTTTCAGGGCAAACCAGCTGGCCCCCACCCATGCTCCAGGCCTCTATTCTATCTAATAAAAAAAGTAATATGCAAATTGACCATCACTCCCACATAAGATGGCTATCTCCATGTGTACACAAGATGGATGCCACAAGAAGGCCAGCAGGGGAAGGCAGTAGGGCTGGACCAGGCCTGCAAGGGAGGGCAGTTGTGGGCGATCAAGCCTGCAGGGGAGGTCAGTTAGGGGTAACCAGGCTGGCAGAGGAGGAAAGTTGGCGGCAACTGAGCCTGCAGGGGAGGGCAGTTAGGGGTGACCAGGCCTGCAGGGGAGGGAGGTTAGGGGCAATCAGGCTGGCAGGGAAGCAGTTAGGCATCATTCAGATTGGCAGGGGAGTGGTTAGGGGGTGATCAGGCTGGCAGGCAGAAGTGGTTAGGGGCAATCAGGAAGGCAGGCAGGTGAGCAGTTGGAAGCCAGTAGTCCTGGATTGTAAGAGGAATGTCCAACTGCCTATTTAAGTTCGATCTACGAGGAGTCCCAGATTGAAGAGTGTGTAGGCTGGGCTGAGGGACACCCCCCCTCCTCCATGCATGAATTTTGTGCACCGGCCTCTAGTTTTTTATAACTCTAGAACTTATAAATTATAAATTTTACCTTGGCCTTCAACCAAATCTATACCCTTTGCTGATTTACTTACATTTTAAAATTAATTTATTTTCAAATCTTCTGTATGTTCCACTTTAAGTTTTCCCCCAAAAGATCAGAATGATAAATCCAAGAATCTTACCTAATAATAGAGAAACATATAAATTGACTGTACTTCTGCTATGCCCACAGCCAATCAGAGTGAGTATGCAAATTAACCCAACAAAGATGGCAGTTAATTTGCATACATACCTGGGTCCTGGAAACCTCCTTGGCACCAGGTCACTCCTGGCAAGCCATGGAGGGGCTTGGGCAGGGGCTGAGGTGGCGATGGGTGGGGCAGGGCCCCTGCCCATGCCTAAAGCCTTGGCAGCCCGAGCTGAGCTGGTGATCAGAGAGGCAAGGGCAGGGACCAAGCCTGGGATTAGAGGGAAGGGGAAAAAATCAATGGAAATATAACTTCAGGTGAAGCTAAAAAAGGAAAATAAAGAAAGAAATGCCATATCCTATGAAAGACACATCTTGAAAATGCCTAAAGAAAGTTGTCATTTTTTCACAGTGAAGGGACTGGAGTCCATGTTGATGAAAACACCTTGGTGGCAGTGGTGACTGGCAGTGGCTGCAGCAGCAGGGTGATGGGGCTGGCACCTTCCCCTGATCAGCCTGGTCGCCTCCCACAAAGGGAGGCCAGACTGCAGCTTAGGTCTGCTCCCAAGGGGATTGAGCCTAAGCCATCAGTAGGACATCCCCTGAGAACTCCCAGTATGGGACAAGATGGGCTTAAAGAAACCCTCCCCCCTCCCCCCAGTGCACGAATTTCATTTACCAGGCCCCTAGTATCCAATAAAATGAAAGCCTACATAATTGTGGTTCCACAAAGATATGGTTAACTATAGTTTTATGTTCAACACTGCTGCGTGCCCTCACAGTAGCATCACATCTGTCATTACTTCACAATTAGAAAACTTGAGGATGATTCTAACACTCCAAAATGTTTAGTCTAAAAATTGAAATACAGTGTCAAATTGAACCAAAAAACATTGTGTGATTTTCTGATAGTGTCTATTAATCATCAGAATCTGTATACTTTACCCAATTATGTCATATGAATTTTTATTGCTCATAAATCATCCCCTCACTTAGAAATCACTGAAGTACATTACAATGCAATCTTTTGCTACAAATTTGAGTGCATGTTATAGTAAGATGTACAACTAACAAAGTCGAGAGAAAGAAATTGAATCAGGACAATTACAAGACTTGACATTGCATTTTTTTGCATGTACTCCCTGGAAAACAATTCAGTTAAGGCAGTGATTTATGACTTGACTACACCATTCCCGGTGCAATTCCAAGTGGATTCACTCCGGCTCTTCTTCATAGAGGATCCACAAAGAGCTAAAATTAGAACCTCTAGCTAAGAGGTCTTGCATAGTTTCAGAGACTGTGTAGCTGCTGCTCTTGGTTTTGCCATAAGCAACTTAACTACTGATTTATTAGAAAAAAAGCTATATAATGCAGTGCCTTATTTCTTTATTCATTAAGTTATTATATGCAGTTATAATTCAAAGACAAAAATTAGTGTTAATGAAACCATTTCAGTTAATAGACTCATTTTTTATAAAATATTATTAAACTAATGAGGGGAGGTATGAATATAATTATATCACATTGAAAGAATGGGAAATTTTCCTTTTTTTGTATGCCCTGCATTTTTGAGCAGTTATTTTATATTTAGCTTAAGCATGAACTAAAAATATCAGTTTTGTTTCTTTTTTATAACTGGTATAACTACCAGGACATGAAAGAGAACTTTGGTCAACTTTTATTTTCTTTTTACCTTTCATCAGCTGGGACACAACAATCTCCCATCATAGAAGTGAGATAATCTTTGTTTAACAAACAAAAACTTTCGTATTCCAATTTAATTAATGAATACTACATTTTAAAGTATACATATTATGCCTTTCATTAAGAATTGATATTTTAATAGGCAGTATTACCACTTTATATTTTGCAGAAACATCCCTTTCAAAGGACTATGGAGGTTAGTCCATAGTCCTTTGTATGGATTAAGTGGTTTAAAGTTATGGTTAACTACAGTTTTATGTCCAACCCTGAACACAGCTGCCTCTCTTGTAGTCCTGATCCCTCTCATCTGCCCTCCCCTGCTGGCCATCTTATGGTGGCCATCTTGTGTCCACATGGAGGAAGCCATCTTTGACCGCATGGGGGCAGCCATCTTGTGTGTTGGAGTGATGGTCAATTTGCATACCTAATCATTTTATTAGATAGGATTATTGGGTCTCAGTAATAGGTTGTGGAAGAAAGATGTCTTCTAAGACTATCATACCAAAAGGTCTAACACTGAATGAACATTTGAAAATATTATTTAAATTTAAAAAAATAATAAAACCTTGGGTTTATTTCTATCAAGCTAAATGGGTGCATTAAAAAGTTAAGAATAAATTATTTTGCTATTCAATAGGTCAATTATTTGTTTACCTGACTCATATTTATTAAACATACTGATCATAAAATTAATAAATTTTGATTATGGCCTTTCTTGATCATTGGTCTTAAGTTTTGTAACTTTCTCAAAAATTAGATTTATTCTATTTACATTATGTCCACAAACACAGAATGAAAATCATTCTGAGTATCCTCTTTGTTTTCATTCGATTGTTTCTTTAAACAATAAATCTTTGAGTCATTCTGCCTAAAATATTATATCATCTTTTAATAGAAATATATCTAAAAATAGTATTCTAAATTACCATGATATAATTTGAAAAGGCAACAAGGAAATATAACTGAATATTATTTCTCTGTAGCAACAAAAATTAAAGTTTAAAGTTCAAAAGTGAACTAGTAAAAAACAAAAAAAAAAACAAAAAACAACAGTACTCTTCATTAAGTTGTGCAATAAATAAATTTTCACTAAAGATGACTCTACTCTTGTCACTTAATGGACAAATATTGTTCAGGTATGCACCTGCCATCATGATTTTAGGGGAAATAAACTCACTTCTAGTTCTAGGGCCAAATATCAATTAAGTTCAAACCATGATAATAGGGAAATAAACTTGGTCCATGGGTGACAAGTGACCTAAACTGATAAATTAGATTAAGTTAAAACAAAAACACACCTTTATTGGCTATTAGAAGCAAAGGAATTTTTTCCTTCCTTTTATTGAATAACAAAGACCTCTGATATATTTCAACTCTCAGGGCAATCAGCTTAAGGCAAAAGCTAAAAACATCCTGTTCTAGAAGCATCTTTATTTTTCCCTATGATTTATCTATCAATGGAATTCCCTCAGGGAGGCAGAGAACTTGCTGATACAACATGTACCGGATTAAATTGTATTCTGGAGAAACGTGGGTGTGAGAAGGGTGGAAGGGGTTGGCAGTGTAGGAGGCATTCAATAGATGGTCCAAAATATATATATACTATAAAAATGTATAAAGTTATATTTATGACTTGATTATGATATTTAATTTAGAAAAAATCTCACACAATTCACTGTGATCTTCTCCATCCAAACTCTGTACATGTTACTACCCACTTTGATGAGTTTTAATTTGGGATTAACTGCACCACTGCTTCATTATTATTCTGAGGAACATTTGGTTTTGCTATTATCTACTCTCTAGTGGCATGCTATTTTCCACACAACAAATATTTCATTCCCTATATAGTTGAACATATAGTTAATTCTAGTTGTTTAGTATAGAAAATAAACTTTTTTGGCACTGTCCTCAGAATTTAATAATGCAAAACTAGTAACAAACATCTTTGGAAAAAAAATAATGAAATGGTCCTTCAGTATTAAAATTTCTTATTAAAAAGCATTAGGTCAAAATCATTAGTATGATATATTATTAATATAGATAAGTTACACATGAAAAAAATAAATCTAATCCCACCTCTTATAGTAAATCAAATGACTTGCAACTACAAGCCACTGTTACAGGTTAACTGAAAAAAAATATATATATATATTCAGCTTTTTCATTGTTCTGTGGTTTCTGATAATGCAACTTTTTAAACTGTGTATACCCAGGATATAACAATGTACTGCATACTTACCAGGTGATTTTTATGCCACTTTGCTGAATGCAGGATTACTATATTTGGGCTTTTTTATTGCTTGAGTAGAAAGTGCTCATTACTTATTACGTTTATAATATTAAAAAAAAATTAAAATAAAATAAAAAGTGTTTTTAAATGGCATACATCACACTGTTGTAGTGGTTGACTTCCTCAAGATCGTCTTCTGTGGTTTTGGTGCAGTGGGAGGAGGCACAGTTGCAGGTCTGAGAGGGGGGAAGCTGTTACTGTGGCTTATTCCCGACCCCCCATTTTCAAGTGGAAACGGAGGGAGATGCGGCGGAGGAGGGCGGGGAGGGCCTGGGTGAGGAAGCTTCCCCGGCGGCTGGACGGGCTCACTGTGCAAATGCACCTCCCGGTTTTTCATGTTGTACCGGGTCTCGCAGTCAGGACAGTAGCCATGGTACTGCACTTTCTCATTAAACCGGACCCTTTCCCGAGGAGGCCCTGCCTGGGGACACCTGTCTTTTTCAGGTCTATGCATCAGAGGCTGCACGGACGCCTTGTCCTGGTTGCTGCCGGGTGTGCAGCAGATGTCTCCATTGGGGATTTTGTTCGGTGCTCCTGGCAAGCCACCATTCCGCAGGAGGGTGCCGTTGGTCTTGACAGGATTGACAGCGGGCGGCGCCACCCTTTGCGGGTCTTCACTCTTCACGGGTGTCAGCCGCGGTGGAGGCGGTGGAGGGTTTGGCTTTCTCAGGACCGTGAGGATAGCGGAGGGGTGTGCTGGGGGTTTGATGAGAGGGGCGTTGGCCTGCTCTTTGATCTTCTCTATGCTGGAGGCTGTCGTGCTACTGGAGCTGCTATTCAGGGTGTCCGTTTTGGAGCTGTCAGTCATCTCATCCTCCAGCTGTAGGTCCGAGGTCAGGGTATCAATCTGGTCAACCACCTGGTTGGAAAGGACAAGGGAACTTGTGTTGAAAAATGACCCCAAAAGCAAACTAGCCGAGGAACAATGTCTTCTTGGTTAGCAGTGATCCACTATGGGAGCCTTGGCTAATGTTGAATTGTGTATTCCATTACTGCATAATGTTCTCATTCAGTGAATTTACAGAACAGCTGCCATGAGAGTGGCAACTGATAACATCATGATTTCACAGGCTTAGAATATAATACACTACTTGTGTATACATTTTATTGCTAACTGCTATACCCACCAGAGATAAAAATCCTGATGAAGAAACAATCCTGGTTTTTAAAAAGAGGATGAGATTTGCTTGGCATATAGATATCTATGGGAGAACATTAATCTCATGTTAAAATGAGAAGAAGCCAGAAATTTTTCAAAATCGTAACTTGACTGGACCATCGGAGAGCTAGGATCACAAAATAACCGAATGAACAGAACTGCAAGGAGTTTCAAGCTCTCTTTGGATAGATAGGACACAAAGATGGTTTCACCTTTGGAAAATCACAGGAAAAGAGGCAGCCTCCACCAACGTGACTAAAATAATAGCTATCGATATGTTAACGGATGACCAAAGGCAGAGCATGTGCTGTCACGCCAGACAAGGCAACTTGCCCTTTTTCATGTGCCTCTCACCTGGGAAACTGAGGGCAGGGGAAACACTGGAAAGAGTCCCTCCTAGGCAAATAGGCTCAAACCCCAACCATATCCCAGGCCCCTTTCTTTACAAAACTAAAGCTTTAAGTAGAGAAATGGCAAAACCCCTCTAAGCGCTAAGACACCAAAAAGAAGTCCTCTAGGACAGGGAAGGAGAAGGGGACAGAAAATTCTCTTGGACACAGAATTCCAGATGCCTGTTATCAATTGGGGAGAGACCCAAGTCACAACCGCCACTCAAAACATGCCACAGACACAGGCAGAGGCAGGGGATGAAATAAGTTTGTCAGAACCATCAGATCAACATGTAGGCCCTACCCCAAGAAAAGGAGAAGAATTCTGAAGACAGGAAAACTGGGTGGAGCATGTTAGATAGTTTTAAGGAAAGATTTTCTAAGGGCATTGGGGAGTCATGGAGTTAAAGCTGTCCATCAAAGGAATACAGCATCTCCCAAGAGAGGCTTGCCTTAGGGTCTCTGTCCTGTTCAGTCACTGTAGAGAACGGCACCTGGGCCCTCAGTCATTCCCACTCCTCATAGTCAGAGAACTTGGAAGCCTTTCTCAGGACTGTACTGTTACGCATACCAGTATATGAAAATGGACAAGTTGTGAATTACATCACAAATAATTTACTTTTGTACAATTCATATATTTGTATTTGTAGGCTTGTTTGTTTTTTCCTTTTCTCTTAATCAGGCCTAAATTTATTCAACTGTGAAGGTGGCTCTTTGACACATGGTGGCAGGATTGGGCTCAAAATGAAAACATCACAACCAACTAGAAATTAGGAAGAACATAGAGATTTTACTTCTTCCTCATGTCTGGTTCATGCTAATACCACCCAAGCTCAGCCTTCTATTTCAACTCTTCAATATATCTGAAATCCATTCACTTGTATTTTCATTCCTTTGGTCCTAGTCTGAGGCACCATTACCCAGGCCACCCAGAGTCACCTTGCTTCCTCTTTCATTTTTCTAGTTTCGGTGATCTTTTAAAAATAGATGTGTGTGCTCTTGCCACCCCCCTGCTCAGAACCGTTCAATGCCTGTTCACTTCTCCTGTGATAAAGATCAATTCTTAACATGGTCTCTGAGGTCCTGTATAGTCTTATTCAGGGCTGTGCTGGTGCTTAACAATGTTTCTTGGAGGTCCAAGGGGATCCTGATTTGAACAGTTTGCCAGTTTTCAGAATGTAACAGCCAGGAGGGTCAATTTCACTGACTGTGAGGTTGGAAAGAAATGTTCAGTAACACATCATTATGAAGTGTTTCCACCATGCCAACAGAATAGATATAAATAAGCTCAAGAGTACCAATACTAGTAAAATGTAGTGAAATAATTATAAATGATGAAGAATAACTATAAATAGTGTGGTGAAGGCCTGAGGAGGGGGTGGGAACATGGTGAAAGGGGTCATGCGAACGGACAACTGTAATACTTTCAACAGTAAAGATAAATTTAAAAAAGCATAATCAGAAAACCTTTATTTTCAATGTAATTTACTTAACAAGTTTATATACTTACCTTTGTTTTCAACAATGATCACTTAATAGACAGCTCACAAAATTTCTAAAAATATAACCATTGGGCCTATTTAGCTCATATAAGCCAGCAACATCCCTGTCTTTCACTCCTAAATAACTCCATATCCTTAACTCTGATGTTTCCCTTTTCCTTTCTGTTCTCTAACCTCTCTGGTCTTCTTTTAGTCTCTCATAGCTGCCAGGCTGCTTCCTGCCACAGGACATTTGCAGATACTAATTTTTCTTCTGAAATGTTGACCTCTCCTCTTTGTATTATTAACTCCTACTCATTTTAAAAAGCTTAGTTTAGTAATCACTCATGAAGTAAACCTTCCCCGATCCTACTAAATTTCCCTTATGGATAAAGTGAATTTATTAAATATTCTCAGGTAATTATATTTCTTTGATTCTAAGCATTCACATATTTTTTTCATTGTAGGTTTATAGTAGTGCGACTATTGGAATAATGTTTCCTCTCTAAACTATATTCTCATTGACATCAGGGACCTTGTTTGTTTGCATTATTGCATCCTAAAGGCCTAATGTAATGAATGGCACTCAACTGGGGTTCAACAAATACTTAAGTAAATGCCTTGAAGATTATTCTCTTTTTTTACTTTTTAAACCTTACTGAGAATATGCTTGGCAGAAGAAGGGAGGGAGGGAAGGAAGGAGAGAAAGAGAAAGAGAAACATGTGTCCAACAGGGGATTGAATCCCCAACCTGTGGCCCAACCCGGAATTGAACCGGCAACCTTTAGATGCATGGGATAACTCTCAACCAACAAGATACTCTGGCTGGGCGAGGGTTATTTATTTAATTCAAGTGTGAACAAAACAAGTTCTCACCTTTTTGATTTTTAAAGGTGTTATTTCTTTTAAAGTGCTCAGTTATTCCAGAATTTAAAAAGGTGGGGAGGGTTTAGCCATAAAGTATTCAACAGAGTTAGTTCCAGCCTAGAGAGTATAGAAATTAAAGTGGGAGGCCACTTAAAGAATGTGGCACAGTTTTGGCTCATGGGTGCTGTGTACTATTTAATTTAGAGAGGTTATATACACTAAGCCTTTTATTGTATTAAATGTCTGCAGCAAAGGAGAGACAGCTGGTTTGCTCTAGGGGAGCTGGAGCTGATGTTTGGAGATGAGTAAGTACTGCTTTGGGTCCCTGATGGTTTGATAGTTCCTGGATAATTTGAATCTCAGCATTGTTATTTCCTGAGTGCCTACAGAATGCCAACAGAATAAAAAACAAACGAAGTACCACCCCTATAAAGCAAGAAATCTAGTCAGAGAGCCTGATATGCAATCATTAGATACTCAAATAACTGCAAAAGTGCAACTGGCCCAAGTGCTCCAAAGGAAAAATAGCAGGTATTATCAGAGGAGCACAGAAAGGCCCCATCAAAAAATCTGGCGAAGCACTCCTCAGGGATGAATTGCAGTTAGCTGGCAGAAGAGAAGTTATTTTAGCAGTCCACTCAGGGCAGAGCCTGTTAAAGGTCCTTCAAAGAAGACTCTTGGCTGAAGAGCCCAGGGAGAATGAGGTTAGAGAGTCAGGCAGTACCGAGGCTGTGAGAGACCTTGTTATTTTCTGGTAAAAGTACCACGTATTTTAAAAAATAGTTCCAGACGCGAGAGAAGCAGTATCCAAAGAGACTATGAAGTGACATTTTTCAAAATTGAAGCATCATTTAATTAAAGAACACAAAAATATAAACAAACCCACACCCAGACATACGATAGTGAAAATATAAAACACTGGGAGTAATGATAAAAGTTTTACAACAATAAAAAAGGAACACTAAATATTTACACAGTAACAAAAATTAGGCTGACAGGTTTTCCCACAAGCAATAGAAGCCTGAATAAAATTTAGAAATGAGTTTCATACTGAAAAAAAAAGTAATTGCAATTATAATAGAGTTTAACTCTTCTATAAAGGTCCAAAGGAAATAGACAATGGCAGACAATAAAGACAAAGAGAATATACTTCTTAAAGCTTAGTCTTGAAGATACTTGTAAGTGACAATTCAGAAAAGTATAAAAAGCCAGAAGAAGGAACTGAAATACAAGAATCATAGGTGGGTGAACAAAGAAAATTTTAAATAATTAAATCAAAATATACACAGACTAGAAGACAATAATATACTAATGACTAATTTGAAAGAGGGTTAAAAAATGTGAAATTAAAATAGTAGGAAAATACATGTCACACTGGAGAATAGTCAGAACTGAAGCATTTTTTGTTGAGAGCACAAGAAGTCAGTTTGTACTGGTAATAATTAACTTTAGCCTTTATGCATGTGAAAAACTTTAGAAAAACTATAGAAATAGTAGACAAACGTATAAATTCCAAAATAATATACTGATTAAAGAGTGTGCAAAAAACTTGGCAAAGCTAAAATAGACAGATAATAGAGAAAAAAAGAATAGCAAACAGAAAAAGATTGCACAGGATAGTAGAAAAATAACTCCAAATATATTAGTAATCATAAGAATAGATTAAAGCAATTTATTAAAAGAGACAGAAAGATTGAATTTAGTGATAAAAATAAGTTATAGTAAACAAGTAACCAAGTGAAATCTGATGTAGCTATAGTAATATTTAACAACAACAACAAAAACACACCTCAACCTAAATCTTTCTTAATCAAAACAGTTTATCTCAATACTGATTTAGGAGAAACAACGAATAAAACATAATCAAGAACTCATGTATACACACACATAGGAACATATGCACACATACACATGGGATAAAAAGCAGTATAAAGAAAGAATTTCGCTAAGATGAACATCAATT